TTGCCACCTCTACTCCTTCTTCCCCAGGGGAGACAAAACTGGTCCAACCAGTTCTCCTGGGCCACACAAGGATACCTGCTCTGTCAACTGAGACTTTCAAGCCACCACCTGTCATTTGTCCCAGATATTTTTAGCTCCCTCTGAAAATGGAAGTGTCCTTTATATCAGACATTAACTTCCAGAGTTTTGGGTCAGCATTTCTCAGCCTACATGGCAGATCTCACTGGGAAAAACTCACCCTTGACCTCTGTGGGACAAGAGAAGGAGATAGGTAGAATGAGTCTTGTTCTCTCAAAGTGCCGTTGTGCATTCATTCAAGAAATATTGATTGGGCAAATCCTGGACAGTTCTAGGCACCACATAAATATCAGTGAATAAAACAGACAAAAGACCTTGTGCTTGTGGACCTTTTATTTTTAATGAGGGAAACAGACAATAAAGAAATGTCTAATATAATGTCAAGGATGATGAATACTAGAGTATGATGGTGGTGGGGTGGGAGCTATTTTAGACAGACTGTCCAGAGACGGCCTCTCAGAGGGAATGACTTTTGGACAAAAGTGAATGGAGTGTGAGCCACGTGAAAATCTAAGGGGAAAGACATTCTAGACAGAAGGAGCAGCAAGTGCAAAGGCCCTAAGGCAGGAACTAGCTTATATGATGGAGGGGCAGCAAGAGGGCAGGTGTGGCTGGAGTGAAAGAAGAAAAGATGGTAGGAGACCAGGGCTGTGTCATGTAGAACCTTGAGATCTACAGGGAAACTTTATATTTCATTCTGGAAGAGATCAAAAGCCACTAGAGGGTTTTAAACAGGAAAGTGGCATAATCTGATTCAGGCTCTAGAAAGATCCCTCAGACTGCATAATCCAACCCAAGAGAATGGATTATGGCAGGGTGGGGGAAAATAGGGAGACCAAAGAGAGACTGATACAGTCACCCATGCAGAAGAGGCTGGCAGCCTGGACAGGACAGTGGTGACCAAGGAGATGAACAGGGGTTGGAACCTCAAAGAAGTGGTTCCAAATAAAACCCTGGCCTATCCGAGCAGGTGAGAGCTTTAGAAATCCTATGACCAGGCAGGAACTTTGGAGTCCTAGGTCTGAAGCCCAGATTTACACATTCTAGCTTTGAGTCCTTAGGTAGGTTGCTCCACCTCTCTGAGCCTCGGTTTCCCCGTCTGTAAACAGAATGATGGCAGCTTGTTTCCAGGGGGCGTCTTGAGGACTCAGTGACAAGTAAATAAAGCACAGTGCACAGGGCTTAGCACTTCAGTAAAGTTAGCAACACCTCAATTGCCCACATTTATTGCTAGAGAAACAGAGGCCAGCTAGCTTAGAGGCAGACAGAGGAAGAAGGGGAAGGGAGAAAAGGAAGCAGGACTTACAGGGGTTTCTCAAGTCATATACCCACAGAGTCCAGACAGTAAGATGGATGAGTAAAGTGATCTAGGAGCATGAAAAATCATGCGATTCTCTCTAGTCATCTTGTTTTCCCACTTTTGAGAGACATGGGAAATTAGAAATATTTCTCTACTCTTAGATAAATCAACGTAAGTACAGTAAGTAGCAATCAATATTCAGCTGCAATGTCAGGGAGACAACAGTGAAGAATGGTAGCTATGGCCATATGGAATGCTTGTGCCCACGGAAAGGGACTGGCTAGCAGCTTCACCTGACTGCTCCCCACTGTGAGATATCCCAATTTTAATTTTAGAAGACAGAAATCCAGATTTTTCAGTGAAATCTCCCAATTTTATTTATTTTTTAAATATATTTTTATTGATTTCAGAGAGGAAGAGGAAGAGAGAGATAGAAACATCAATGGCCGAAACCGGTTTGGCTCAGTGGATAGAGCATCGGCCTGCGGACTGAAAGGTCCCAGGTTCGATTCCGGTCAAGGGCATGTACCTGGGTTGCGGGCACATCCCCAGTGGGAGATGTGCAGGAGGCAGCTGATCGATGTTTCTAACTATCTATCTCTCTCCCTTCCTCTCTGTAAAAAATCAATAAAATAAAAAAAAAAAAAAAAGAAACATCAATGATGAGAATCATTGATTGGCTGCCTCCTGCACACCCCCACTGGAGATCAAGCCCGCAACCCAGGCATGTGTCCTGACTGGGAATGGAACTATGACCTCCTGATTCATAGGTCGATGCTCAACCACTGAACAACACAACCTTCATGAACATAAAGGATCATGATCTTCCAATTTTAATTAAATTTTCTAAGTGCTTCCGGATATGGGAACACAGTATATTGATCTTGCTACTATTTCACCCTCTCCTTATACCATTTATTTCTTTTTCTTGCCTTATTGCTTTGGCTAGGCCTCCAATATAATGATGATGTAATAATAGAAGGCATCCTTGTCTTGTTCCTAACACAGAGGAAATGCATCTCACTTTTTAGCATTGCAGGTTTTAAATTTCATATCTATATATTTTAAAGAGGATATTTTTCCATTGACTTTTAGAGAGTAGAAGGGAAGGGGAAAGATAGAGAAACATCAATGTCACATTGATTGGTTGCCTCCCGCATGCGCCTCAACCAGGGTTGGGGATTGAGCCTGCAACCAAGGTAAGTGCCCTTCACCAGAATCAAACCCAGGACCCTTCAGTCTGCAGGCCGATGCTCTATCCACTGAGCCAAACCAGCTAGGGCTAAATTTCATTATTTTTAAATATTGGCTTACTTTTTCAAGCTAAACCAAGTTTCTCTGTAGGCTGGAATCAAGCTATGGGCTGCCAATTTGTGATATTTACTTTACCTGAATTCTCTGTCTGAATTGTGACAACAACTTCCTTGGGTACTTAGTCTCCCCATTTGACATATGAAGACAGGGAAGTTCGGAGAGGTGAAGTGACTTGCCACAGTCATACAGCTGGGAAGGGGCAGGGACAGGATTCAAACCCAACTCTTCCTGATGCCAAAATCGGTGGGACCGTGGATGCCCAGGACAGCCATTTTATACTGTATTCTGTCCAGTATCTTGGGGCTCTATAAGGAGTCCTGGTGTCCTGAGTGACCCTTGACTAAGGGCCTTCCTCTTGGGCCGTAGTATCTCCATCTGCCAACCTAGAAGGGGTTCAGCTATGGGAACCCCAATACTGACCCAGTTTCCTCCCCTGTAGTCCAACTCTGCAGCTATTAAATATTAGACCTGATCTTGATAAGTGCTGTGACTTGGCTCTGCCACTTACTGCCATTTGACTTGGGGTTATTTAACCTCAATGTGCCTGTTGCCTCATCTCAGCTGTAAAATGGGATTAAACACAGCACCTACCTAGAAGAGCTCAGGACATGCCAAGCACAGTATAAGTGCCTACCCAGTAAACATTAATCCTCTGGTCAATGTGCATGCATGTGTGCACTGACAGGAAGAGGCAGAAATGTAACTTAAATAGTTGTATTAGGATAAAAATGTGGCTTTTAACATTTCCTTTAATGTCACAATTAATAATGTTTAATGCCTCCCATGACTTGTCTATTATATAGAGAATAAAGTCCAAATTCCTTAACCCCATATCCAAGGGTCTCTGATTCAATATTAATCCATATTTCAATAGAGCAAAGTGGCTAATAGCACAAGGACACAGGCCTTCTCAGCCTGAATACCTGCTCTGTGACTTACTAGCTATATGAGCTTGGGCAAGGAAGTTTGCCTCTCTGTGCCTCTGCTTCATCTATAAAATAAGGAAAGTAACAATTTTCACCTAATTGGGCTGAGTGATACGAAATAAAAGGCTGAGCAGAGTGTCCATAATATGTTCATGTAGAGGCTTGAACATAGAGATTATCATGCTCTACCCACTGCCTCTAAATCTCTGGTCACCCTGGACCATTCACTGGCACCAGAATACAACAGGCCTTGCACTGTCATACCTGGAAGTCTTTACTCATACTTTGCTTTCCCCTAATTATCCAACAGTCTGATCGTCTTGGCTGGTGTTGCTCTATGGTTAGAGCATCAGCCCATGCACCAAAAGGTCTTGGGTTTGAGTCAAGGACATGTATCTGGGTTGCAGGTTCGATCCCCACCCCGGTCAGGTGCGAGTAGGAGGCAACCAATTGATGTTACTCTCTCTCTCTCTCTGCCCCGCCCTACCGTCCACTCTCTCTAAAAATCAATGGAAAAAATATCCTCACGCAAGGATTAACAAAAGAAACAAGAAAACAACAACACACACACACACACACACACACACACACACACACACAAACCTACTCTGTATCAAGGCCCAGCTCAAATGTCATGTCCTTCAAAGAGACTTCCCATCTCCACCAGCCCCTCTCCTGGCTTTTATGAGGGCTGGGTACACTTAAAGCTCTCACCCCCTCAGCGGACTCATTTGTCCCTCCCATTGCTTCCTACCCTTCCTGAGGATGTGAGGAAGCCAGGCTTGCTCTGAGCTCCAGTTCTGGGTCCCAGCACAAATGTCTGAGGGATGTGCTAGCCTTCAAGGAAACTCAGTTATCAAACTGAGTCCAACAGTTCTGCCACATCCTGAGCCTCAGTTTCGTCTGTAACTGGGGCAATGTGGCCTGGCAGGGTGGTAGTGAAAATAAACTAGGAAACTCAGCCAAGGCCCCTTATCTCTCTCCCAGCCTCCCAACGAGCCTGTATTACCTACCCCTGGACTAGCTGGTGATGGGGAAGGGGATGCTGGATGCAGGGGCATCTATGGCCATCCAGAGACCTACTCAAGGTGGACCACTGGCTCTAGTCAGAGTTTCTGATTCCAAAGGGTTTGGGGGCAAGGCCCAGGAGCCTGCATTTTCAAAAGAGAGTAGAAACTCTTCCTTCTGGGTGTTTCCAAGGGCTATGTTCTGAAACAGCCATTCTGGGAGCACAAAACTTCTCCAAGGCTAATGGGGCAGACATTCCTATCAGGGACCAAGGCCCCCTCAGCCCCCAAACCCTTTGGAGGGGAGAATGTTGCCACATAGAGACTAAGAAGGAAACTGCCAAAGCTAGGGTCTAAGCCCTGTGGACACACATGTTGATAGAAACATTTATTGAGCACTTTCCAAGTGCCGGGCACTATGTGAACCCTTTGCATATTTCATCATACCAGACCCCCATGACAGCCCTACGAGGTAGTGTTGTCATTACCCTCATTGTACAGATGAGGAACACAGGGCTCAGAGAGGTGAAGTGACTTACCCAAGGTCACACAGCAGTGAGTAGCCGCACTTGAATTTGAAGCCAGATCTGGCTGATAGCTGCACTCTAACCACAGCACTCAAGTGCCTCCTCAGTGCCTACATCAGAGTCATCTGAAGATGCTGTGAGGAACCATATGTAAAAAGGTATAGCAGATAAGGGCTCTGACCATGTCAGGCTGCTCAAAGAGCAACCTGACTGCAGGCCAGCCCCAAGGCAGCCCAGAGCCGGGTGGGCAGGGCCACCCTGTCTTTTCTGTTTAGGCACCCCAACTACAAGCCTGCACCAGCCAAACCCTGGGCCACTCAGATTCAGCCATCTCTCTTGCTATCACTCCTGCCTGGAAGCCATAAGCAGCCCTGCCCCAGGTTCCAGAATGCTACAGGGCTTTCCAGAAGGATAGGGAGACACAGCAGGGCAGTCACGGGCCATCTCTGCTGACAGCTCGCTTCCACTGGGAAGGATCTTATCTGTCTCCAGAGGCTGTGGACCCAAAGGTGAGCATCAGGCTGGGCTATGGGAGCAAACACCATGGGTCCATCACTCAGAGGCCTGGATGTAGACAGGCACAGCAAGCATGGCACACGGGCCATCAGCCCCTGCCTGTAGCTCTGCCAGTGCCAGGTTGGGGCCCAGGCCCTCGGCATGCCCAGGCACTACCAGCTCAGGTTCACTGCCCACCGTGCCACCTACTACGATGGACAGCACGGCATCCGGCTCTGAGAAGGGTGGCTTGCCTGGGGCAGCCTCGGGCACCTGCCCAGTCCCTGGGTCCTTCAACTCCTCCAGCCCCAGTGGGTCAGGCAGGGGGGTCACCACCTTGTGTCCACCCACTGCTGCCACTGCGGGGGGCTGCCCTCCTCCGGGGGGGCCGCCGGGCTTGCAGGTCCTTATCCTTTTGGGGTCCGAGGCGGCAACGGTGATCCTTGAGGTATTTGTGGCGGGAAAAGCCCTTGGCACAGCCAGCACAGCGGAACTTGTAGTTGCCTGTGTGGGCGCGCTGGTGCTCAGCGAGATGGGCGCGGCGGCTGAAGGACTTGCTGCACAGGGCACACTTGTGGAGCTTCATGCCTGGTGGGGAGGGGAAGTCAGTGAGAGGCACCCAGACCCTTTACCCTGCAACAGTGCCCCTGAACTTGGAATAAAACCCAGTCTCTCGGCTTGTCTAAAAGCATCTGTGTGATCTGGGCTCTCCTACCACCAGTCTCATCTCTCACCTTCTCCCAGACACTGTGCCAACCACACTTGCTCTCCTCAACGGCATCAAGCCAGTTCCTGCTTCTGGGCCTTTGCACTTGCTGTTTCCCTCTGCCCGGAACAATGCGTCCAGCCCCCGAATTTTCCAAGGTCCATCATCTATCTCCTCTCTGCTATGCTTGCCTCACGCGGCCCCCTAAGACCATTTCCTACAGGGCAGCTAGTGACATCTTCGGAAAACATAAAGGATCATGATATTCCCTGCTCCAAACCCTTTAATGATTCCCCAAGTTTCCCATAAAGCCCCGTACAGTCAGACCACTCCTTCACCTCTCAGTAGCTTCCCCTCCCTCCCCACACCTTGTTCTCTGAGCTCCAGGCGTCCCTCTCGCCTTTCCTTGTCTCAAACACCCCCAGTCCCTTCCCTACCTCAAGGCTTTGCATTTGCTGCTCCCTCACCCTGGAAGCCATTTCTGGCTCTTTTCATGTCAGCTCCTCTCTTCATTCTCTGCCCCATCACCCTGTTTATCTCCATCTTTGCACTCAGCATACTTTGCAGCACATACTTATTTGTCTGCTGTTCATTTTCCATCTCCACTACTAAATCGAAGCTTCCCCAGGAGGGTAGGGTGGGGTTCTTCCTGATTCCCTCAGTGCTCACACATGGTAGGTTCTCAATAGTCACTCACTGAATAAGTCACTGGTGCCTCCACGTACATATGCAGTCACTCCAGCCCACACTCAGCCTGAGCCATAGCCCCCTCAACCTCCCTGGCTTACAGAGGGGCAGTGACTTGCCTGAGGCAAGTGGCAGTGCCAAAGCTCAAACCCAAGCCATCTGCCTCTAAGTCCTGATTTATTCTGTTTTCAAACTTTCCAGCCATTAAATCCTTTCTGTAAACCAGAGGTTCTTAACCAGGGGTGATTTTAGCCCCCAGGAGACGTTTGGCTTGTCCCCTGGAGACATTTCTGGTTGCCAAAAACGTGGAGAGATGCCACTGACACCTATTGGGTAGAGGCCAGGGATGCTACTAAACATCCTATAGTGCACAGCATAGCCCCTACAACAACGAATTATCTGGCCCCAAATAATAAATAGTGCCAAGGTTGAGAAACCCATTCTAGACTAAAGAATATAGTTTAGGGAAAGCTCTGTGAAACCCCAGAAAACCAAGGAGTGCTGTGGAGACCCCTGCTCTGCCGAGGGGACAAAGAAACTTCCTGTCCTTATCTTGGGCCCAGTCAGAATATGATCTCCCTCTACATCTGATCCACACCTCGGTCACACTGGGAACCTCTCCGATTTATAGTTATCTCTTCTCAGCTCGGCTTCCCCCTCAGCCTGGGGGACTGTGTCTGACTCGCCTCTGCGCACCCCAAGGACCCTAACACAAGCCTGGCTCATGGCTCACATGAGCAAACGTTTGTTGGATAGAATGTACCAGACAGGAATAACAAGTCTCATGGGATGTGCCTGGGAGCCTGCCCCAGGGGGCTTAGCTGAACCAGACCCTCCGGGCAGGTCCAAGACCACTTACCAGAGTGGGAGAGGATATGAGCCTTCAGCTTATCTGGCCGGTTGAACTCCTTACTGCAGCCTGTGTGTGTCCTAGAACCCAAAGCCACTGGTCAGGGGGTGCTTACCAAGTTCAGAACCCTCTTGCTGGGCCCTCTGCTAACCCTGAGCATGAGGACACTCTTGTCCATCCTAATGGCTGGGCAAAGAAGCAGGGCGGGGAGTGAAGCCAGCAGGTGGGGCCCAGGACAGGATAAAAGGAGGGAGGGCCTCCAGTCCTCAGACCTGACATCTTCCTGTCCCACTAGTGGGTAAACCCATGCCCCCTCCATGCCAGACTCTACTCACGAGAAGGGGCATTTGTATTTCTTGAATGGCTCATGGATCAACATGTGTCTCTTCAGTTTGTCTTTGCGGTTGAATGCGGACTCACACACTGAGCATTTGTAGGGCTTCTCACCTGCAGGAGACACAGACACAGGGGATGAGGATCCCATGAGATAGAGTCTGAACAAGAGCCACTAGAGGGCAGCAGCTCCTCTAGGAAGGTGGCCTGGGAGAAAATAGCCACTCCCATTCCTTGTGACTTGGTTTTGCCAAGAAGAGGGAGCCATTTTAGACAGGATGGCTAGGAAAGGCCTCTCTGATGGGCCACAGTTGAGGTGAGACCTGAGGTAGTAAGGGAGCGAGCCATGTGGAAATCTGGGAGTAAGGGTCCCAGACAGAAGGAAAGGAGGGGGATGTTTGAGGAACAACAAGGATGCCAGTGTGGCTGGAACTGAGTAGGGGATGGAGAATGAGGCAGAAGATGAGGTCAATGAGGCTTCCTGGCCCAACAGGGAGGGCCTAGAAGGCCAAGCAAGGACTTTGGCTTTTGCTCTTAACCTGATGAGAGGCCACAGGGGCTGAGCAGAGGAGGGACAGGGTCTGACCAGGGTTTCTCAGGCCCCTCTGGTTGCATGTAGAGAAGAGACTAGGGCTGAGGGAGGAGAAAGGAAGGAGGCTGGTACAAGAAATGGGAAGAGGTCACGTACAGGCTATGCTGGAATGCAGAATTGGCAGCCCTTGCCAAGGGATTGGTTGTGGGGTGTAAGAAGGGGAGAGTCTAGAATGAGACAAAGGTGAGTCAAGTGACAGGGTGTGTGATCCTGGCATTTACTGAAATGAGGTACACCGTGGGGGAGGGGGGAATTACATCTTATCCAATTGGATCCTTGCAACACCAAACCATGAGATAAGTACTATCATTATCCCTTTTTATAGATGAGAAAACTGAAGTTCATGGTCTATACCTAGTGGCTGAGGGAGCTAAGATTCTAGCCCAGCAGTATGATCCAGAGTCCACCTCAGTGTAGCCCGATTGCCCTGCCGCAGAAACACTGGGGGGAGGGGGGTTGGGAAGAGCTCTCACCTGACAGCTCACAACATGCCCTTAGGAAAGGACGCTACTGGGCTGTTTTAATTTCCTGCCATTATTTCCTCTCTATTCTCCCTCTGGAATGAGTAAATTACTTTTGAAAAATGCCATCCCCCCACCCCCCACCCAGTGAGTAAGGAAATTCTGGTCCTTACAATGGAATGCTCTGCAGTTATTAAAAAGATTAAGTTACACCTATGTTTCTTGATCTGGAAAGATCTCCTAGATATATTGCTAAGGGGGAAAAGAAAGCTGTTGAATAGCTTAATATAGTCCCATTTTTGTAAGAAAAAAATACAATCCTCACACTCAAAAAAAGCCCAAGCTATATGTGTTTGTATGTACACAGAATAAGCAGGAAGAACAGTGGGGGAGGGTACAATCTGTAGCAATTAGGATTTGAAGGAGGAATTTAACATTTGATTTTATGCACTTCCATATTTACAACAAGCATGTATTACTTTTTTAAAAATTCCTTATTGTTGAAAGTATTACATGTCTCCTTTTTCCCCCACTGACCTCTCCCAACCGCTCCCGCCTCCCAGCACAGGCCCTCACCCCCCTATTGTCTGTGTCCATTGGTTATGCTTATATGCATGCATATAAGTAAGCATGTATTACTTTTGAATAATAATACTTTTAATCCTCACCCGAGGATATGTTTTTATTTATCTTAGAGAGAGAGGAAGGGAGAGGGAGGGAGGAAGAGGGAGAAACATTGATTGGTTGCCTCACATATGCACCCCAACCGGGGATGAAACCCACAGCCTGGGTTTGTGCCCTGACGAGGAATTGAACCTGTGACTCTTCAGTGTATGGGATAACATTCAACCAACTGAGCCACACCAGCCAGGGATGAATAATAAAAATTTAAAAATCATAAAGAGACTAATTTGGTAATACCTATCAAAACTACTAATGCATATACCTATCTTGTTTCTTCTTTTACTGTAAAATATACCTAACATAAAATTTACCATTTTAACTATCTTTTACAGTTCAGTGGCATTCACACTGTTGTACAATAATCTTCATCATCCACCTCCTGAACATTTTCAGCATTCCAAACTGAAACTTAGTGCTGCATATACATTTTAACCTCGCACTTCCTCTTTCGGAATATACACTATGGCTATACTACCAAAAGCTTGCTAAGGGACCCACACAGCATTGTGTATGCAAACCAACAGCTGAAAAATAATTTAAGTGTCTATCCATAGGAAACTGGTTAAATAAAAGATGGTAAATGCGCCAGAACCGGTTTGGCTCAGTGGATAGAGCGTCGGCCTGCGGACTCAAGGGTCCCGGGTTCGATTCCGGTCAAGGGCATGTACCTTGGTTGCGGGCACATCCCCAGTGGGGGGCGTGCAGGAGGCAGCTGATCAATGTTTCTCTCTCATCGATGTTTCTGGCTCTCTATCTCTCTCCCTTCCTCTCTGTAAAAAATCAATAAAATATATTTTTTAAAAAAAGATGGTAAATGCAGAAAAATACTATGAAGCTGAGAAAAAGGTGGTATTAAGGAACATCTTCAAGGTATAATGATAAGTGAAGAAAAAAGGTACATAATAGAATTATAGTATGTGCTCATTTGTAGAAAAGTAAGCAAGTGCCTTATATAGATGTAAAATAAAGCTAGAATGATGCAGGCATGCCACTAATAGCTTAGCTGTTGTCTTTGGGGGAGAGTGTTGCCTTTGGTAGGAGTATTTTTCAAACTGCAAACTGGGAGTCACAAGCTGTTGGTGGTTATTTTAACAACTAAAATTAAACAGAATAGAAGAGAAAATAATGCTTTGTGAAACTTTTGTTTCAATATATTCTATGTATATAGATGTGTTTTCTGAGTTGCAATAAAAAAATGTATATTTTGCCATAGGTCATAGCAAAAAAAAAAGAATTGAGAAACATTTGGATTGTCCATCTGAGGTGAGAGGGGGAGTTCATTTTCATTTATATGCTTTTGTATTGTCAAGGACTTTTTCCTAAGGTTTTCTCAATCTTTTGATCCTTTTCAATAAAAAAATCCCAGAATTTTACAACTAATAAAAATTTTAATGATTAAAAAAAAAAGCCAATGTGTTTCCACGGGGAACCAAGGAAAAGGGCTTTTGTCCAGGTTCCAGTGATAATTTTATGGTGAGAAAAGCATCCCCACCCCCCAGGGCTCACAATGGTCTGTGGGGATTGACTCTCAAGGGGCAGAGCCAAAAGAACACCCCCAGCTTCCACCTGAGTGGCTGATCTCTGCTCTAGTGTTGGTGGGCAGGTGGGGAGGGGGCCAAGAAGGAGACAGGAGGGAAGGGGGGCAGAAGGCAGATACAGAAGAGAGCTAAAGGGAGATGAGGAGGAAAGCCAGATAGGGATGGGAAGGGGAACAAAGAGGGGGTTGGGGGTGGGGGCGATGAAGTAGGCAGGAGCTGGAGGGGAGCTGGGGACGCACCTGAGTGGATGTGAGCATGCAGTTTGAGGTAGTGCTCCCGCCGGAAGAACTTCTTACACACCTGGCACTTGAACCTGCCCCCGCTGCCATGTGTGGGCAGGTGACGCCGCAGGTAGCGTTCACAAGGAAACACCTGACAGAAGAAATAAATCAGTTTCAAGTCTGACTCACTAGCCCTTGCCACCTTCTCAGCTCCCCCACATTTCCAACCTTTCTTTATGGAAACAACTCCTTTTCTGCTTACCTGGGGTCAGAGCCCACAATGTCAGGCATAGCCCTTAGAACATCATGGTTCCCACTACTTACCCATAAGTCCAGTCAAAACATGCCTGCTCTGAGCTTCTGCTCAGGCTGTTTATTTTCTACCCAGAGGGCCTTTCTCTCTTACCCTGACAAACGCCTATTCATCCTTCAAGGCCCAACTCAGGTGTCACTGCTTCTTGAAGCCCTCTCTGACTCCACCTTGCCACACCAGGCAAAGCAAATTCCGCCCTTGAATATACATCTACATTATTATTATTATTATTATTATTATTATTATTTTAAAATCTATTTTATTGATTTTTTTACAGAGAGGAAGGGAGAGGGATAGAGGGTTAGAAACATCGATGAGAGAGAAACATCAATCAGCTGCCTCCTGCACACCCCCTACTGGGGATGTGCCCGCAACCAAGGTACATGCCCTTGACCAGAATCGAACCTGGGACCTTTCAGTCCACAGGCCGACGCTCTATCCACTGAGCCAAACCGGTTAGGGCACATTTTTAAAGTCAGCATTTAACCCACTGAATGACAGCCCTTTGCTTATATGGATCTCCAAGAGGACAGAAAGGGGCTTACATTCCCCAGCACAGGGCCTGAGTCAACTGACTGACAAGTAAAAGAATAAATGAATAAAATGAACAAATAACTAATGAAATTAATGAAAAGATAATAAAAAGCCAGAAAACACAGAAGCCCAAATCCTTCCTCCCAGATATAGGATAGGCATTCATTCATTTTTTTTCATTCATTTGATATAGAGAAGTGATCAAGGGGCACAGACCCAACTGCCCACTACTTATTGGCCCTACCATTTCCTAGTTGGGTGACCTTTCTGTGCCTACCTCCGAGGGTTAAATGAGTCAATTCAGATAAAATGTTCAGAATAGTATCTGGCACATGGTTCTTACTTGATTCATATCTATTACTTGAACGACAAATTCCAAAGCTCAAAATTAGACTATATAATTAGAAACATCTACAATGAGGCTGAAATGAAACCAGGGCTGTCCTGGAAAATCTGCCATGTCAGGTTGTAAGAAAATGAGTAGAACAAAGAAACAAGTTAAACACACCAAGGGGATACAATCAGCAAAATCCAGACTTCGGGAAACTCCACAGGACCAATTGCCTAGTTTCTTCAACAAATAAATTGAAAAGGAAATAAAAGGAACAATGGTGTGGGAAACCTCTATATTAAAAGAAACTTTGGTCATATCAACCAACTGCATATGTAGACCTGATAC